ATGTTATTTATCCATTAAGTGAAAAAATAAATATGAAGAAAATATTTATTTAATAATACATACAATATATACATATAAATACAGAACCAAAATATTAGATAATTAAACTTTCAAACCACAATTATCTTTCCAAATTCCCCCTCTTGATAAGTTAGGTTAGGTGCAGTCTCATCATTAATTATGCAGCATTATTAAAAGAATACTTTTCTTCTGTTTCAAAAAACAAAAAAATATATTTTTATATAATTTATGATTTTGAAAAGTTCTTTATATATTTTACATACAATACAGTAAGATAACTTTAGCAAATAATTCGGAATCTTCTAAATTATGGTGGTTATGTTTCCGCAAAGTAATTGAATTCAGACTTTTTAAAATACTTATACATGCTGTACAAACCAGAACCACACATTCCAATCAAACCACCTATTAAACATTTTTTGAGACCAGCCGTGGATTTATAAAATAAACCAGTCGACGTTGCGGCAAGTACCATATTGAAGTCATCATCTTTTTCTGGGCGTAATTTGTCAACCAACAAGGAGGCACCGGTATATATAATTCCAAAAACCGCAAGTGTATTGGATATACCGGCGCCTTCCTTAAGAATATAATTCAATAAAATTGTTCTCTTAATTTTTCCAGTGTAATTGCGGCCGCGAATTTCTTGGAAGCCCTTGAACAATCCAACAACAGATCCCATCGTCCCTCCAGCAAGAAATAACGTTCCTACGTTGATTATATTCTTCTTTAACTTCTGTTCTTGCTGGACACTCTTGAATACTATAAATTCAGCACCTGCATCTCTAACAAGACCAACATCAGAACCAGGCTTTGGGAATGGTGATACTACTGTCATTGGGATTTGATCCAGGGTGGGTGTGTCAATATTAGTGTCATTATCCGAAGTAAAAATAGAATGTTGTCCTAAAATTTTGTCCACGAACTCTTTCGCCATTTCGCTTGGGTTAAAGTATGAATTATAAATATATTTTCTAAATATGCTTATAAATATGTTTTCTAAGAAACGATATTTTGAAACACAACGAAATATTTTCTAAAATATTTGTTTTTAATTTTGATGGTAATAGTTTCTGAAAGGTAACTGCCTACTTTGACCAAATATCGATTTAGATTGCTAGTATATATTGTGTTCTCAAAGAAATCATTAAACAAATTAAACAAATCCAATATATATTCCGTCAACTATGAAAATGCCGTTATATTAAAAAAAGTACCAATTTAAATAGGAGCCATAAGCTATAAGAATTAGATTAAATTATTGTAATATATCGATTCTTGTCTTTATTTTCTTGCAATAATTTTCAAAGAATATTTAGGTGTTTTATATAGTCCTATGTATACGATATAGTGGTATACTGACAACTATTTTACGGATGAGGGTGCCGGACGGTCATAGGGCCGGCCAAAAGACACTGGGAAGCACTGATAAAGAACATAGCTTTATTTCAGGCTGAAATTTATGCAATAGCTATATGTGCTCTGTTTTATATCGAAAGAAACTACCACAATCGAAAAATCGTAATACTGGCCAATACTCAGACTGCCATCAAGGCACTCAACTATCACCAGGTAACTCTACACTAGCAATGATATTTTAATAGGCTAAACACACTAGGCCAATACAATCAGTTATCTATTCTGTCAGTACCGGGACACGTTGGAATATCGGGAAATGAAGCAGAAGATAAACTAATTATGACCTACGTTCTGTGGCATAGGTCAGAGCCATAGCAGATTCAACAACTGTGTAAACCTGTCTAAGAATAGCTTAAGAATTAGCACAAGAAACCTAACAGGTCATAGCAGACTAAAGCACCACTAAGTGATATTAGAAATACATGTTAATGCTACTTGTAGATTCTGTGAAATTGATGAAGACTCGGCAGTATAGCTTAAGCTTAATATAGTTTAAGCATTATCACAACAATCCTAAAAGGATACTGCAAACTAAATCACCACCTAGCGATATTAGGGATGCATGCTAATGATAGTTGTAGATTCTTTGAAATTGGCTAACAGTTGATACTTCTAAATTGTCCTACATTAATGTACACAAGAATACGAGTATTTGGAATGGAAATGCTACAAATTGAAGAAAATCGTTGAAGTAAAATTATAGTTCAGTTTATTGAGATAATCGGACTAAAAGAAACACTCTAAGTACAATAGGGGCACAATAAATATTAAGGTCGGAGTATATACATCCACATAATAACAATATAATCGAATATTGGTATGCTTGCGCTATAACTTTTGTTTCAAAAATATTTATAACTAATCTAAGCGCTCCAATATTTCACAAGCGATCTTTAGTACAAGAGAAATGACAAAGATTCTGTTATCCCAAGACCTTATATTTTAGAAAGCTCTCTAATACGCAAAACTTCATGTTGTATTTGTAAAATGCAGAACATACCTCTTCATACATTGTGAAAAATATGTATATATATTTTATTTATATTTCTGAAAAGACGTAATCCACAAATTGTTTTTATTTATTTTAAGTAATTTATTTTATTTATTTTATAGTTGAAAAATTTTTAAACCCAACTGTGCTCCATGGTTAGCCTATTGTTGCTAAAAACTTACAGTAGAACTTTAAAATTTTAATTTCCATCGTAAGGATATTTAACAACTGAAATGAAATTTAGTTGAAAACCAAAAAGAGTTAGTAATTATTAATTTTAATTGAAACCGAAATCTATTCTCACACAAAACAACATATAAAGAAAACTCAAATTTCAGTTGAATTTTTTAGTTAATACAATGCAAGCCTGAAAAATCCAAGTTCCAACATTTTCATCCAAAAAAAACATAAATATTACTGCAGTAAAACCAACACATAGTACTGCTAACAAGTCCATAGATAGGCAGGCAAGACTAAGGACAGACCATAAAATCGAGACTGATAAAATAAACTAATACTCCAACAACAAATATTTTTGGTTTTAGACTACAACTTTTTCCTTTTTCCTTTGTTATGTTAAATCAATAGATTTTTAACTGGTCTGGTAAAAACTTTTTATTACAAAATAAAAAAAAATAATGAAAAATACACAGCTGAAATAAAAATGATTTGTCTATGCTATGAGATAGTATAATTTGAAAAAGAAATTTTATACGTTTTTGATATAGAATTAAAATTGTTTGCTGCGTTTGAATTTAAATGGATTTTCAGGAGAAAATGCCACAATAACAGAAATGACGCCCATCAATGGGTGTACGTACGTATAGAAATAAAACCACATTTATTGTTTTTACAATTACACTCGAAATTGCATTTTAATAATACAATTTTTGAACGGTAAAAATAAAAAAATTACATATTAAATTTAATTAAATAAGGCTGTATTCATTACAGATGAATTTTTTAAAACTCCTAATGCAATTACAGAACTGCTAGAATATTACCATTAGTTAAGTGAACAACTTCTATTGAAAATAAAATTTTAAGTAAATCTGTGACAACATATGTCTTACTGGTAATGTGACAGATTATCTTTTATACGTTTACACTGCAGAAAACATTTCTAGCAAATCAATCTATAATGCTTAGTTACAATTATTACCGTACACATACCTAGAAATGAAACAGAGTAATGTCTTAAGTAAACTATCAATTTCATATTGGATAGTTCTTTCTGACTGGCAATTTAATAAAAAAAATTTCTACTACAGCTTTGTTTCAATCATACCTATTCACATTGCTAGGCATGAAACAGAGTAATGACATAAGTAAACCTATGATTACATATTTCTTATTGGTAATGTAATAGATTATCTTTTATATGTGTACACTAACGAAAACATTTCCACGAAAGCGGTTAGCAATTAGTTACTATCATAACCGTCTAGATTGCTGTGAAAAACAGAGTAATGTCTTAAGTGAACTAGTAGATCTGCCTCGCATATCTTTTACTGGTAATGTAATAGATTATTTATTTTATGAATGCACTGCAGATAACATTTCTATTGAAGCCGCCAGTAATGTTTAGTTACATTTATTTATATCTATATTGCTGGGAATAAAGCAGAGTAAATGCTTAATTAAATCAGTGCTTACGTAGTTTTGACTGATAATATAATATTAATTTTTGTTTGCATATGTATACTGCACAAAAGATTTCCCATAAATATATCAATAACAGCTACTCAGAACTAAGAAATGTTAGTATAATATATTATCATCTATTATATAAATTAAATACAGAAAACATTTTCACTGAGCAGTCGATAATGATTAATAATAATCACTACCTACTGGGAATGAAACAGGCTTATATTTTACCTACAATGCCATAACTATATAACCCTTTCAAATTATGGTTATAATGCATAATATGATATAATATATAGTCAATGATTTTCCTGTGAATATCAATGATTATCACTCTTAAATATTTAGAGTTGCTATTTGTTAAAACAAAATCGATTTTCATTATTGCAGTTCCTTAATCAGGATTTATTCAAATATTCGCTACAGACTTTTTTAATTAATTAATTATTTGCAATATATATTAATTGATTATGTATTTTCAACAATTTTTTGGCAAATTTTGATTTTATTAATCACCTATATCTCTAGATAATACAATTATTCTAACATTTCGATACCTCTTTTGGGTGCGGAATGGCCATGGTTACCAACGACTTGTTACAGAGCGGAACCCACTTATAATCGAGCTTTCTCATAGACGAATTTTCATGCAAAATAAAGTCAACAAGTTTCTTTAGATTTTTGATGACGTCAGATATATCCTGCAACTTCTGTATCCTCTAAATATAGAGAGTAGCGTCACTAAAACAACTATAATTAAATGAGTAATTGTTCAAATGTTATTAAATTTTGGCAGGTGTCATTTGAAAGTGGCCACTTTACAAAATTTATATGGATTTTGACCCGTTTTACTGGTTTTATTATTGTTATTGAAAGCTACTGTGGCCACCGCGACTTGTAAGATAATAACAATAAAATAAGGAAAATGATTTTTAATTATTTTTTTTTAACGGCTGTTAAATTAACCTTACATCTTACGTTATCCTTTGTTCCACGAATATATTTGTTTGGCAATATTCAAGTCTTGATCCACTATCCATTGTGTTATATAAATATATTTAATTAAAGATGTCTTTCCGTGGTTGTATGTGTTTAGATATCATTTTATCAGAACTTAAAAAATATGCAAATTTTTCAATGAACCTTAATAAAATATTTTCATTCCAGGTACAAAATCAGTAAACAATATAGTGTTAATGTTGTATTGGTTTATATTCGTCATTTGTACAAATAAAAGCATCGCGTAATAATTTTTTATTATGCAAATTTTTCGAATATAAAGAAAATAACCTGTGTTGCATAATGTAATTTGTGGCAGCACTATTTGAAATATATGTATCTCCAAAATATATATAAGCACTACAAATGCAATACATATGTGAATTACGTTTTATGAATTTAATATATGTACTCATTCTGAAAACAACTAACAGAGCTCCAAAATTCGATTTATTGAATAAGATAATAAAATATGAAATAAAATAATTATTTTATAGAACTATTGGCGTCAACCTCAACACCAGTAACTAATATATACTGAAATATTACCAAACATTTTAGTTAACTTAAATGATATTAAAATCATTTACTAATAAAGTGAACATATAGATGAATATAAATAAAAACTGCTTATCAGGCACTTCCAATACATGCCCATTCTTAGTTAACTCTAAAATAATTTTTATTTTAATTTATATAAATTCTTATTCTTGTAAACATAATTACACAAAATATATATTAATTGTATTAAAAGTATACTGCACTGCATAATACAATTCATAGCAGCACTTTTTAAAATCCTGTATTTTATTGCAAATGTACAGACTAGGTGAGAATGCGACATTCCAATTTGAAAATTTATGAATTAGTAATCATCTTTATGCTAAAGGACACCTCAAAATAAAAACTTTAAGAAAGATATCGTTTATCCACCACATAGATTGCGGCACTGTCTGGTAACAAAACTTCTGCAATGTGGTACTTTGACAGAACAATCTCATCTCTTATGTGAACCAACTAACCAACAATGATTTATTTCACTTTTTAATAACTTAATGATCGATCGATTTGTTGGTCTTAGTTGTACGTCAGCAGATATCTTTCTATTGTTTATAATTAAGGAGTTTTTACTTCTTTACTTGTT